GTATGATATTTATTCGAAACTCTTCTTACAATTTTCAGCTATTCCCAACTTGGAGAATGAAGGATTATTTTGTCACGCACGTCGTTCAGGGATCGCTGTCAACAGATACCAAGTGGCACACTTTTTCCGTTGATGCGGAGGTCTTAACACCTGACGAAGTGGAAAATGCATTCTCCCAAGCAGTTTATAATAAGGGTGAAGTATAAAGAATAATTTTGGTAACGAATGTGAAACTGCGATAGAAATGTATGTTCTTACAAAAATGATGCAGAGACTATGTGTAGGTTTCATTAATATAGTTTCTCTTTTTGTTGTTTTTCAAAAAGTATTAGATAGTTCGTGGAAGTAATATCTATAGTTCTATTACACAGGATGTCTCACGTAACACTTTTCACGATTTTTCAAGTACTTGCGATAATCTGACTAAAAAATACTTTCAACAAAAGTTGATCAGTTTTCGATTGGCTACCAGAGTTCTGCATAGGAAGGAAAAAGGGGCCGATCTCCTCGCAGCCCGGGCTAGCCGCAGTTTGCGATAAGGCGAACATGATACCTTTCTGCCTGGAGCCCGTCACACTGCGGAGCGCCTGTAACACCGCGGCGCGGCCTGTAACATCATGAGAAACTGCGGCTGCTGCGAGGCAGTGGGAGCCGAATGCGAGCATCGCCGCTATACTGCGTTCGCGATTACGTACATCTTCGCTGCTGAGTATCGAACGCTAAGCGGCCGCTCCTCATTCCATTTCTTCCATTCATTCTATTTTTTACTTATATATATTAATTATGTAACTATTGCACGATTTCAACTATTAAATGCATGGGAAAGTATGACATATTTATTTTAGTATGACATATGCAGGAAATTAGATGAAAGGAAATGTAATAAGGAAAATGAAGTATTATAAATGTAATTTCATAATTCATATACAGTGTATTTATGTTATATATGTTTTCAATACATACGTACTTTACAGTATGCACACTATTTACACGATTTACAANTTTACTATTGTCAAGGTCACCTTAATTTTTTTAAATGTATATATACTGTATATATAATATATGTGGACCAATTATGGCATTTTACGGCCCTAGGACAGGAAAATTCTATTTTCGGTTCATTTTATAGATACCGAAAATGGTCTTTTTTAGACACCTGTTATTAAAAGTGTTTTACATTCCAGCTCCGGCCATTCTATATATGCTGACTAACATAATCACTCCGGAAGTTTATCAGGCCGGGCTTATATCATATTTAAATGAACAGTGAGTATAGACTTTTGATAGACAGGCTTTATTGTCTTCTTGTGACAAGTATAAACTGATTAAGTCGTTTCATCAAAAATATTGTCATTGAAATCGCTGAGAACTTACAGTCACTGCCATTAATATTCAGACAGACTTTAAAACAGAATAACTTTCTTAACGTTCGACCCAACAAGTAAATTTTCTGTGGAACGTTAGAAGACTTAATTACTATGTGTAACAGAAAATTAAAGTTGCTATTTGTTGTTTTGAGTAAAAAAATAAAGGACCAGGTTTCTAAAAAAAATTTCTGTTTGTAAATCTAAGTAAATTATATACATGTACAAAACTTCATAAAAAGCAGCGAATGATTAAAAATTTCCACAATCACAGGTTTTCGCTAGTTTCTAAAAGTGAGATAAATTGAAGAACTTTTACATGTTTCAAAGTGTGTTTTTTATGCTTTCACCGATTTTTATAAAACTTTGGACATATGTACATGTAACTTAGTCCGATCTATAAACGGAATGTTCCAAATTTTTGTTGAAGGCTGTAATAAAAAGTTAAAAATCATGCCGTTATTTTTTCTTCGAGATTCTGACGAATATTTTGTTTCACATTATGTAGTAAGTCAAACCTTCTAATGTACCAAAGAAAATCAAATTGTTTAATCCAATATTTAAAAATTTATTTTATTTTGAAGTGTGTCCGAATATTAATAGCAGTAACTATTCATATATCGTAAATCAGTATTATTATTAATAGTAGTAATATTTGTACATCAAGCGTTAGTGTAATAATGTGTAAATTTACTTGTGTAAAAAATAATGCAATTGTCGTAAATGTCAATAATAAGTAGAGCGTGGATTTTTATGCAAAATAAAATATTCAAGGAATAAATGGAGAGCAAATTTTAGATATGCTTTGCTTTTATTCATCGAACATGTTGCATGCACATAACATGCACATTATTGCTTTTAATATTTGATATATCCATGTACATCGTGTGCTATACTCAACTTCACACACTTATGCCTGTTTCAACTAAATTTTCCTACAATTTTTAGTGAATACAGTTCTGCAAATTCAGACTCGTTGTTCGAGGCGTTGCAAAAAGCGTTGGACGCGTCAACTGTGCCACACGATGGCTATAAAATAAAAGAAGTAATGGACACGTGGATCAAACAGAGAAGATACCCTTTAGTGTCAGTAATCCGGGATAAGGCGAGTGGAAAAATAACACTGTCGCAAGCAGATTTTGCCCAGATCGACCAACACATGCACAGTGACGACAACGATGAGTACAAGGATGAAAATGTACAGCACCAGTGGTGGGTGCCGGTGACTTATGCCACGGAGACCAATCCGGATTTCTCAAACACGGTACCTACTCACTGGTTGAAACCAAACGAGAATTTGACTATCGATGGTATCAATCCGGATGACTGGATTGTGGTTAACAAATTACAGGCTGGTAATTATAAACAAGACTCCTTGTACTTGTAGATTTAAAATAAAATAGTAAACTGCTAGTGTAATAATTTTAGAAGTTAGTTTCATGTATTTTTATATGTATACATTATTATTCAACTAACAATGGGCGCAACTCTTCATGAAACTTTATGAGATCGTACATATATACTTTTTATTTGTGGAGAAGCGATTTTAAGGGTTGAAAAAACCCTTTTTATATACTATGGGAATACTGAAGAATGCAAAGTAAAGGATATTTTCAAACTGAGCTAGTATGAAGTTCTTCGTAGAATTCAAATCTATTTTTATAATTTAGAAACACAAAATGATTCATTAAATATGGAGTAATGATTTTGTATAAAGACATAATGAAATTTTGAAAATTCAATAATACCATTAATTTTGTTCATGGAATCAATTATTTAATGACCCTGAGTATTTCGTTTGAGTGTATACATATATATGTTCGTATTTGCATGCATATTAATGAACAAGATTAAACACCAGCAATGTTACCTGTTAACAGGTTATTACAGGGTGATTTACGACAATGACAATTGGAATAAGATCGCGGCATGCCTTAATTCAGAAAACTTCACTAATATTCATGTGCTGAGCCGTACGGCGATTATCAGCGATGCCACAGAATTGGTCGGTTACGACCTAATGAAGCCAATGACGTTCATAAACATAGCGTCATATTTATCACAGGAAACAGATTTCGTACCCTGGTATCCCATGTTCAGATTTTTGAACCGCATATGGAGAAAGATAAGCATCCCATCGGCTGCTCTCCTCAAGGTAACGTATTAGTGTCCATAATCTAACAATCAAATCTTTGACCCAGTGCAATATTATATTTTTGTTAAAAAAAGAATTAGACCTCGTAATTAGTTATATATTACACATGAGCAACGATGATTTCAAATTCTATTCATACATACAGTGTAAAAATGTGCGATAAAATTAACTGGCAAAATGAATGACCTGATGTTTTGACACAGATAAGCTTTATTGAATAACTGGCACTTTCTACATCGAAAGTAAACTTTTTCGTAATCTAAAAATTAAATCGATGGCAACAACGAACTCGCTATTGATTTTAGATTACTGTTTTTAAACGCTATAGAAAGTATATTCAAAGATGTGGATTACGAGGAACTCAAAGACGATGGTATTCTTACAATTTTCAAAAGATCTGAAGTATTGAAATGGGCTTGTAATCTTGGTAACATGGAGTGCAGGGAGAAGGCAACTGAGCAGTTCATGGAATATTTAGATAATCCGGATAAAAAGTACGTATTCTTCTCTTTTGGTATCAATTTTGATAAAGGTTGTAACTGACAAGATTAATCTTTAAAGTTTTCCGAAAAATTACATGAATGTCTTTCAATGCATACTATTGAATATTTTACTGCCAAGAAAATGCCTTAACTGAAGTGAACAAATTTAGTCTCCACAAGAATTCATGGTAATGAAAATTGTAATAACTTTTAAACGAGCTAATAAACTTCTACATTGGACATACATTTAAGTCCATAAACATTCGTACACAGTAGAAAATTAAATAACTTTTCCAATGCTGGATTTCACGAATTAATTTTGTATTAGGTAGTAAAAAGAATAGTATACTATATGATTTACAATTGAAAATTAAAAAAAAATTGTTATAGATTGGGCTTACGAAGAAAAAAGTAAAGAACACAATTTTTAAGTTTTCTGTTCGACTCTCTAATAAAAATGTACAACGTGCTTTTTATAGATCTGAGGATGTCATATGAACGTGTGTACAAAGTTTAATTAAAATCTGTAAGACATGAAAAATTTGAACGTATCGGGACATGTTACATTTTCTCAATTTATATCAGTTTTAGCCTGTCATCAAAATCTGCGATTTTATCAATCTCTAACAACATCCTTTGACCTGTAAAAAGCATGTTTTAAATTTTTATTAGGGATTCGAATAAAGAACTAAAGAATTGTGCCCTTTATTTTTCCTCCGCATGTCCGACCTGTAGCAATTCAACTAATTTTTTGTCACACATATATCATATAGTAAACTGATCTCTGTAACATCTAAAAAAAATTAATTTTTTTTCAATTTTGAAACAACTGTTTATTTTTTAAATATGAACGAATATTTATGGACTTCACTGAATAATTCTAATAATAAGTAACATCGAATAATAAAGTTTCAATAAACTAGCATTATTTTTACTTCTATATCAAAAATTTGTCTCTAACGATAAACTTTATAAGATTCAGCAGCAATGTTATAGTTAAAATCTCTGAATTCCTAGCTAATTTGACAGGACGTTTTCAATTTTCCAGTCACGTCTCATGAATAAATGGATGGACTTGAGGCAATTATCTAATTTGATCATTTGATAATTTAGGATCTCGCCAAATCTAAAATCATGGCTGTTCAGAAATGCTTTGCGGTCAGCTAACGAGTCAGTTTGGAACAAAACGTTTGAAACTCTAAAAACTAACGACATTCGACCGCATATCGGTTCGTATTGGAGTCAGGCGTTCCAGAACTATGTCCAAGGCAGATGGGGTCGAATCATATATGCGCTGAGTAGAACGGAGAACCCGGAACTGTTTGCCAGATACTTGCAAGAGGCTGTGTCGGAGAATGGAACTCTACCGGAGGAAGTACAGAGCCTGATGATCAATTATATACTTTTTGACAACGAAGGGTCTAGTCACATCGACGTATTGATCGATTATGTTATTGAACATTGGGACGAAATACACGCAGAGTAATAGAC